GGCAGCCAGTATTGCCTTGGACAACCTATTCCAGTACCTCACCCCCATCGCAGTAAAGATTTTCTTACATATACCTAACCTCGTTTTCCCATCTTTAAGTCTGTGCCCTTTGTTCTGTCACTCCAGTTCCTGAGAGAGTCCCTCTCCAGGTTCCTTCTAAGTCCCCTTCAGATACTGGATGGTTGCTAAGTCCCCTTCTGAATCCTTCTCAAGCCGACAGAACCTAAGGATCCTAGTCAGTCTCAAAATTCTGACAGTCCAGCTCAGTTGGGTGGGATATCTGTGGCTTCAGTCTGTCCCAAAGTTGAGCTGCCACACGGAGCACCGTCATCGCGATCTCAGAGGTGGAAGTCTGCTCTTCCTTCTTGCAGGTACCCCGAAAATATCACCCCAGAGAGCGAAGATGTGGAGCCCAAGCCCATGGTCATTGGCACCAACAATGTTTTTGAGGTCGGGTGCTGCATCCTCGCTGTGCAGTGACAAACCATGTGGCACACTGTGCTCCTGGATCCCTCCAAGGAGGGGAGGCATCTCTGGGGCTTCAGATAGCCCAGGGCTGGGTGGTGGTTTGAAAAAGGCACCAGGGTTTTTCACCTGTTGGAAAAAAGCAAAGCATTTCCCAGTTTCCCTTAACACAGACCTGCAGATTCCCAAGCCATGAAGGTGGGGGACAACAACGTCATCGAATCCAAAGGTAATTCCCGCCTTGCTGCCTTCGGCCCTGCCGCAAACGCTGCGGGCACACCTCTCACAGCGACTCCCTCTGCCTCCCTCTCCCCGGGCAGCGTTTGTCGGCAGGAACGTGATCCTGACCAGCGGCTGCATCATCGGCGCCTGCTGCAACGTGAACACCTACGAGGTGATCCCGGAGAACACCGTCATCTACGGCGCCGACTGCCTGCGGCGCGTGCAGACCGAGCGGCCGCAGGTGCGGGGGACGCGGGGCGCGCTGCCGCCTCCGCGCCCCTCGCTGTTCCCTCACCTGCCCTGCCTTCCCTTTCCAGCCCCAGACGCTGCAGCTGGATTTCCTGATGAAGATCCTGCCCAACTACCACCACCTGAAGAAGACCATGAAGGCCGCGGCCACGCCTGTCAAGAGCTGAGCGCCCAGCTGGTGCTTCCAGAGGTTGGTCCTGGGAAGCGCTGCACGCTGCGGGAAGAGTCCGGTCTCCACGTCCCTCATTCCAGCAAAGCGTTTCTTCCTTGTTTGTGTCATTTATTTATCTTCCACTGGGAATCTGGGACCTGCTTCGAGTCTGCTGTCTCTCGCTCGTTAACTCTGTTGTTCGTGCTCTGTTTCGGGAATAAAATATCTCCTGCTCCGCTGTCTGAGGGACCCGCAGCCCTTTGAGCGTGCGGTGCCTGGGTCACACGAGCGGTGTCACCGCGCCCCGCCGGGGACAGCCC